AGGGTGAATGGCTAACACGTTCGCCGAGAGAGCTGAAGGTTCAGAGTTCGACCGCCGGAGGAGGTCACGAGTGCATACTCCTAGGAATCTATCTAGTTCTAGGACGAAACAACTGTCAAGTGCTCCCAGATTTCCAGCGGTTCTGCAACTGATGTCAGTTTATGATGAATACAACCTTTAAACAGAATTGCCACGTTTGAATACCTTAAATAGTCATTCTTAGTCAGCCTGATAAACTTTATCAAATTTGATGGAGCACTTTCGTTGTTATCCAATTTTTAGTTCGTAAAAGCGTGACATTACTGTTAGTTGTCACTGTACGTAGTTAAGTGAGGGTGGTGAAATGGGTTGACTGAAATCAACCAAGTTGATTTTATCATCTTCACCTTATTCGGATTTATGTCTGTTCTAAAAGATATACATAATATATTCTATAATGATAGGTGCATATCAGCAGTAGTATGTAGATGCATCCAAAATTCGCAGGCTCTAATGACCTCACTACTCACAGGATAGTCTTCGTCAAGGACCATCAGTGGTAGGAGAACTGGTAAAAAGGTAGATGTGTGCACCTACCCTATTTGTTTATGAGATCCTAATGTACAGCAGTCAAGATTTGACCAAACAGGTAACTTTATTTAAATGGTTGATCTGAAAATCAAAGTTCACTGGATTTTGATGGTCCTGATGTAGAATAACTGATGAGTATCATTTTATATCCGGCAGATGCATGACGAAGATTTCAAGATTTCTGTCCCTTAGGTGAAATGCGAAAGTATTTTACTTGAGTATAACTTCCTAAAAATGTTTCATATCAACAGTCAAGTACAACCATGACAACTGCACGATTGAACAAGAGTTGTGGTAATCGTCATCCATGATGCATGCGAACGGTTACCACCAGTTGAAATGACTGCTCGACACAATTATTTACACAAGTCTATGCTCTCAATGAAGTTCTCGGAAGCTCAGGTAACCTACTTTGCACTCTTTCTGAAACCATTCATTCACAGAATTTCTCTCTATCACTAAGGCCAATAAAATTCAAGGGTATTGTTAAGGATATCTGGAAATCTGATGAAAAATTATAATTGAGCTAGTACACAATCTTCATGTTCGGAAACCTACGAGGTTAGTATGCAGAACATTCTGTTCTCTTATGTTGACTAGAATTGCCAATAATCGAAAAGAGTCTTGAATGAGAGTCTCCGACTCCTATATCAAAGCTAGTATACCTCAATTTGACTAGTTTTCCTAGATTGTCATTTCTATACACTTCTGAAGGTACAAGGTTTGGTTCTGCTGATTCACCCTGCTTGTAATTCAAAGCAATTTTCCTAACTCAAATGATAGCAGGAATGTCAGTACCTATATCTTAAATACCTGCGGGTTTTATATGAATTTAGAAATGACCTACCTCTAGAAATTGTATATTATTAATTTTTCAAACAGCTTGAAATTACGCTTACTTACAGAGAGATATACGCATACTAGAGTGGTCAGTGAAGAATTTAAAAATCCTCAGCGGCAGGAGGATTTAAACAAATGAAACTTTTGTTTCTATCTCAATAGAAACAATTTGCTTTATTTCAAAGCTAAAAATAAAAAATTACACCGGTTAGTTAAGAATAGTGCTCAGCTTAAAACTAAGCATTACATAGTATGTAGACAACTTTACTTCAGTATTCTTCCCTTCACCTTTCCAATAACATAGTTGTACAGATTAAGGCTTAAAATTGAATTTCGATCTTAAATTGATGTAATGAGCGTCTGTTTGAACCAAAATGCTGTCTTTTTCACAGAGGAATATTTAGGAGGACGCAAAAACTGTTGAAAATCTTCGGACGAGCCGTGCCTGGTCACTCTCTGAACTCAAATTTCGGTTACTGAATAACAACTTAGGTAATATTATTAGAGTCTACGCAACCCTTCTGACTCATAGGCCGTTCAAGAAGTAGTCTACAACTACCCATCTACACCTGGAGTGGAACTGTCTTCTAATCGTCCCCGAAAGAATTTTAATGCACATAAGAAGTAACTGAAAATGGCATATTCTGTTTAATGAATACCTTTCCATTACATTTTGAAAACATGTAATCTTTAAACAATTTTCCGCGGTTGATTTTTCACATGTTCTCACTCGTGACTATTTTATTTTATTGTGTTTTATCTAACATCTAAATCCCTTAATCTATTGTTTATGGAGTGGTCAATACTCTGTCTTCATCTAAAGAGACAAAGGAAAACGGTATATGTTTATATCAGCTTGTTATTAACACTAATTAAATAGGAAAGGTTTTTCTAGAGGAGCGTTTTTTTAGCTTTCACTAGTACTCCCACTACTGCTGATGCAACCATGACTGTTACTGGCAGTAAGCCATGTGGAAAGGATTATTCTTTATTCTGACAAAGGGATAGAAAGAACATGGTTGGAAAATATGCTATTAAAATGACCTAGGAAGAGATTGATTAGATTCTTGATCTTTTGATTTGTCAAAATCGTTTGTGATGTCAAGATATTATCTCAGTGAAAATTCATTATCTAGAAATGCAAATATTTTAATTCCCTAGACCGATTATTTTCTGCTTTGAAAGCCAAACGATGTATGAGTCATATTAAGTAAACTTCCACAAAAGTATGTGAAGTATTTTATTAAAAAACCTGAAAATTATTTAATACTATGAAAAGTATGCCTTTATAACATGTTACCGTCTAAAGATTGAAGTCCATTTTTAAGATTCTAAATACTCTTATAAGCATTTGGAATTCAAAGCTCCAAGCTCATTATAAAGCATGGAAGTTTGACTATTCACACAACAGCGTTAATGTTTTAGTATTTCTTATCAGTACTCTGTAAAAACGACATTTAAAATAATGAAACAGTTGGTCAGTTGCACATCGGATCGGATAAACTGCAATAAAACTAAATGATTGTATAGTTCAAATTACGAAGTGCACTGAATTTCATAGACTACATACGGAAACTAATCTGTTTATTTTAGAAACATCACTGGGTTACTCGATTTCCTCTACAATATTCACTCTCTCTGATAACCGCAAACGTCTTATTATCGAAATGATCACCCAGCAGAATGGTAGATACCGCTGTTTAAGTCAGATCAGATAACTAATAACCATTCTCAGATGTAACGGAGATAACATTTATGCATGTGTGTGTTTAATGGCTCACTTCAGCTTTGCTGCTTACACAAAGTATTGATAACATATAGAAGAAACTTTATCATTGAAATGCTTGATAAGCGGTAACCATTCATTTGTTAACTTTTTCAGCTCCATTTTAAGTGTAACATAATAGTACCGTTTATTTACAGATTTTTTAGCATAAGATGGGCAGAACAAATGGTTTCTCGGTTTTCTAAACAAATTATGCCCTTCGAATTAGTTGAAGCTACCATTTTTTGAGGTGATTACACTAGAAGCGACGCTTTAAAACAAATCCCCAAAACTGTTGCCATAAGTACCGAATAAACCTTATTACTTTTAAAGCCAATAGTAATATTTTTTATCATCAAAACTACGAAATAGATGATTCTATGATCACAGGAGAACTAAATACATGTTACCCAAATAGCTTACGTTATTTTCAAAGTGACTTCTTACATACCAAAATGGTAAAAACGTCTTCTTTAGTTCTACCGTCACGTTATCTAAGACGCTTGTTTAAATAAAAAAACGAATGCCAAAATTAAGACCACGGCTTTTAATACAGTCTGAAATTAAGCAACTGGTTAATATAGTTAAATTATGGTCGTATTCACTTAGCATATTCTTGCTTCAATAACTGGAAGTTATGTGATGTGGTAGATAATAAAGGTGCTTCAACTGACCCCAACTACTAAGTAATGAACAACAAATATCTCTCGTAGCCAAGGCTGGCAAAAAGAAATAACCACGGGAATGCACAGCTTTATAGAACACCAAATGGGGCAGTTAGAAACTTGAATGAACATCATTGATATATTCATCTTTTCATAGACCATGGAAATGCAGTTATTAGTTGGTTCAGTAAAGCACACATCAACCAGTGAAAACGAGAACGTGTAAACAGCTACAAAAAGAAATTAGTAAAAACTAGGGAGTATTTTGCTATGGAAAATTCAAAGTTCGAGAAATTGACAGGATATCGATAAGAATGAACTGAAACCTTACTTGTAAATCATTTTCTAGCATGAAGCTGAATATACATTTGTAAACATAAATAGTTACATTATTAGAGTCTTATACTGCGTGTACAGAGATATACTCAGCTCACTCTAATTCCAACTGAAATGAAATTCAGTGGCACTGTTGAAAAAGTTCACTTTCTATTCATTGCAATCATAAGCATTTAGCAGCGGATCAAACTATATTATGTCTAATAAACTAAATGGTTAATAATAGTTCAACAAGGAGGATGAAATCGAACTAAGAATAACGTTATACTTTGTTAGAAATCAGTACTCTGTATATTAATCCCTAGTTATTTATCATACAGAAAAATACTTCTAAAATAATGTATATTCTCCAGTCACCAAGGAACACTGCTTCACAGACGAAAGAAAGACACCTGTTCTATGTACAAAGTGTCTAACAAGATTTTATTTGTTCAGTGGAGTGGAAAAGTAATCAGACAATCTTATATAGTGTTTGTTTGGTTCTGAAAAGGATGTAGTGTGAAAGGCCGTTGAAACTAGATTTTACTGCAAGGTTGAAATCAGTTGGAGAGAACTTTGGAAAGTTATAAACTGTCTGATAATTATTTTCTTTCACTTCACGGTGTTTTAAATGTTCGTTTTACTAAACCTACTGAGCACATGAAAAATGATACTTAATTCAAACGAGTGAAACAATTATATTCGGTCACATCTCCCGTTGAATACTGTCAAACTGTATTGGAACTATTCTTGAATACATAAGATAATTTTCATTTGAATACAACTTTATTTTTAATCCTTAATTAACTAATTTGCATTTCATTTATTTAAAATAAAAATTTCAGCTATTTTAACACAACCACAATTCACTCATCGTTATTTGAACAATGTCCAAACATTTAAACAAAATTACGGAGGAAGTGATAATGAAAAATGGCTTCTTGGTAATCCTAATTGTACTTTGATATCAACAAAGCGACTTCTATATCCGGATGAGAATAATGGTAATAACAACAATAATGTTAACAGTAATATAACTTCGTCTACATTTACTGTAACTACATCACCACAAACAAATATTTGTTCACATGAAGCTGGCAATAATACTACTGATGATACAAATATCAACAATGGTATTAACAGTAATCATTTCAACGAACAAACGAAGTCTATTTATCTAGGTAGTAATGAACAATTGAACAATGCATTGCATCACACATATATGTCATTGAAGTGTAAACAACATTCTAGTAGTACACCAGAGAAAAAGTTTAACAGAGATGATCATAATTCCAGTTTTGTTTAAGTCATTTAATCACATAATTCCTTTTTAAAGCTGTTTTTCTCTGCAGTTTTTCCCTACATACATAATATTAGTTCAAGTATACATACGTTTACTTGATAAAATATTAATTTTAGAGTAACATAATTGGTAAAAAATCTTCTTTTTCTAACATTCGATAACAAGAACATATTTTCCAATGTTCAAGGTAAACTAGTTCATTCCGTGTGTTTCAAAATTCAATTCTCGTAATTCCAGTTAAAACAACTACCTATAAAAATGCATTGTTCAATGTTTTGATATTATTAATAACAGAAAAAAAAGTCAACAATACTTCATTCTTTCATGTGCAAGTATTTTGTAAAATGCTTTTCTTTTTCTCAAATTCCCATCCTTACTGTTTTTTCGAACGACATACAGTGCAATAAATTACAGATGACTGAAAAGAAGTTAATCGTATGCTCGTTTTCTTCAATAACACGTAATAAATAACGCTTAGTTGAAGATACATGTAATTGTAAACCATAAACAGGACAGAATAATACAGGTACACATATGAAAGCTTCTTATATTATCTACACCTTTATAAAGATAACAATCTATGTAGCAATGTAATTATCTTTATGTATGTGTGTATGTAAAAAGCCTATTTAACTGCTAAGTGATATATATACATATATATAAATTGACTTCATAAAACTCTTGCCTCCTAAGGTTTACACTGAAGTTGTGATGATAATCATAATAAATCAGCACGTAATGATTATGAGCGAATAAAGTATTTCCTTTTTCGCGTTGTAAAATAACAACCAGTTAGCACTGAGAATAAGAGATCACACCCAATAGCCAACGATTTATGCTCAAAATAATGATAGGGCTGTGAAATACTATATTATAAGTAACTTATAATTCACACAGATTAGTGTAGGACCACCTCAGTAGACAACAGATTACTCCGATCTAAATATACTCATTACTAGCTAGTTAAATATGCAGGAGAAGTTCTAGCAGTTTCAAGCTAAGTTGAAAATCATGAAATGTGGCTTACTGGTCTAGGCACTAGGCTTTTAGTCAGTGGATCATTGTTTCCAACAACACTGCATCCATGAGGTCTGGACGGCTAGTTTATATAATTAATCCTAACACCAGGTGTAACTCATTGCCCACTGAATGAAAATGCACGTAGTTGCTAAGATCATTTGAATTTCCAGGCTTTTGAGTAGAAAATTAGCCGGTAGTAGTGAGATAAGATAGTGAGTGGAAAGCACTTTATTCTGGTATCAGAATCTTCTATCTCTTAATAAAAGTCAAAGCAGCAGCAACACCTTTCGTCAAAACAGTTATCCAAACACAGTACATACCTTTCAGTATGTAAGATCACAAAAATAACATATAAATAGCAACTATAAAAAATTCAATTTTAGTTGATTTATTATATGTATCACAAAATGGGATAACTGTTTATTGCATTACATTTCGGACACAATATATTGTTTACAGTCATCTTTATATAACTATTATGCAACATATAATTGTTTTTATATGATACCATCGTTGCTTGGACCAAATTGATCGAGTGATCCGCACAGGAACCCATATGCCAATAGAGACCGACCGATTTGGCCAATTAACGACGGTATCATATAAAAACAATTATACTAAAACTATACCCGTCGCACAAGAAGTGGCTATCATGGTTCAGTGGTGTAGTGGATAACGCCCTAGCGTCTAAAGCGATCGCTCCTGAGTCCAAACCCCAGTGGGAACAACATCACTCACTGGGAAGCAGGTACATCCAGCTGACGAGTCCCAAATAGGACGAAATGCGCATCCTGGATTCCACTGCTAGCCACGATCCATCATTAATATATTTATGCAACGTTTCAATGCAGCAAATCACAACCTTAAAAACTACTTCACGGATTGATGAAGAATTATAGAATTATAATATGAACAATGTACATTTAACAAAAACACTTGTTTTTCTTGGGTCATCTCCAGTATGAAATGAAACTGATTATAACACCATATATGCTGATAAAACAAAAATAGAATGAACTTGGTAAATTCAATGGAAATAATGTCAGTCGAAGAAGATATGGCTACAAGAAGCCCCAGGAAATTTATCTTTTCTTCATCTTTTCATGGTAGTCCTTTTAGAAGGACATAATATCACAATGAAATCAGTTTATAACAAATCGGAATTGATAGGCCAGTCTGTGTAATCTGAAGTGATTGTAATTCTATATGTCTAATCAACTGATACTAAAACATGGTTACTATTGGATTTCAACTCCATACCTCGAAGCTAGTGTGTTCATACTTAGATGTGACTGTGGTCGGGTGAAACTCAAATGCTGAATTGTTTCAAACTATAATAGAAATTCTTTCATTGGTTTCCCAAATAGTCTGCCTTCATCATAAAAATTATCTTCTAAATATAACTGCCTTTAATCGAGAACTTTTAGTTTCGATTATAAGTGATAGTCAAACAGACAAGCAATAAAAGTAAAGCACAATTATATACAGGTGTAGGCTATCACACTTCATATCAGAACACCGAGGAGTTAAAACAATAAAATAAAGGGTAAGTCAGTCAAAATAGAAACGTCAGTGAAAGGTGTCTGTCATACCACAGTGACCTAGTGGATAACGCTTCGGCATTTGAAGCGATGGGTACTAGGTTCGAGTCTCAGTCGAAATGCCATCACTCACTGAGGTGTATGTGCATCCAGCCGATGAGTCCTAAATAGGACGAGACGCGCATCCAAGATCCCACTGTTAGTCATCAAGTAAACTAAAAGAGAAATATCACCACTTATAAAAATAACTTTAACACAAAAGCTGTAATCAAAGGAGGAAAACATGTATGTCAACAGCATTTTGAAGACCAACATGACGATGCGACCAAAGTGAATGTACAAATAAGCGATTGATTTTCACGCATGTTATCTAAGTTCTGTAAAAAGTAATTTTGATTGCTTCGTAGACATTAACCTAAAGACAGCATATTTAATTTGGAGGCTTCACAGTGATCGACTGGTTTCAAGAGGTTTACATCACAGACCGATATCAGTTAGTCTGCGAACCAACAGTAAGTTCTGGAATTTAAGTGACATGCCTTAAAAGTAATCACTTCTGTTTACATTCACCTAGACCATATCTTAATTTGTAGAAAGCGTACTTTATATGAGATTTCAAATCGTGGAATTCACATTATTTTTTCTACACTTTAGGTATCAGGACAAAAGAAGAGGTGAGAAACATTGCTGACGCATTGCTCGCTAGGTTTTCGCCAACATGACCGTTTTTTTGGCAATGATAGTGATCTGTAGGAGAAATTTGCTGTGAGATCAATAAACAAAGTAGCATGATACTATAGTGGACCGTTTTTAGGCATCAGATATTAGGAGTTAGTTGAAAAAATTATAGTTTCCTGTATAATGATGGGGGCGTTATGGTTCATTAGTTTACATAGCAGGCTTTCAACCAATGGGTCATGGGTTTGAATACCGCTCCACTTACCAAGGTTAAGGTAACCAAGTAGCCTCATTAACCTTTGTACAATAGGTGTGGCTCATTGCATACTGTACATATATGCACAACGTTGCTGAGTAAATTTCGATTCGATTCGTATAATAATGAGCTCAATATGCGTATTTATAAAATGTTTCTTCACTCAGATTCATATGGTTAAATGTTAGCATCAGAGATATGTTAGTTGAGTCACTCAGGTATTCAAAAATATATTTATTAAACCACCTAACCAAATAAAATTACCCTTATTATTATGAAATTAAGCCAGAAACACTTTTTACTAGTAAACCCAAATATTTTTTACTGATGGGATCCCGAATGAATTAAAACATATTTTATTAGTGAATAATTATAGAACTAACGCTGTATGAAAACAAACAACAACAGAAACGCAGATCTAACTCATGCCAATCAAACAATCAATCAGCCAGTTATTCAATCAGAGGTCACAAGGTTAATTCAAATTATGACTATTTAAACACCCAACTATTTAGACACACTATAACACTAAAAGAATAATCCTCAATCTGATTTATTTCAAATAGTCAAAATTTATTTCCTTTTCTAATGCAGTGCTGTTGACTAAGTTCAAAATTCATAGATTGGATTTACTCGGAAAAGCCTGGTTTTTAGATAAATAAAAGTAAGACAGTGAAAGAGAGTGAAACGGACCGTAAGTGACTATCCCAAATGATACAGTCAAACTGTTTTTACAAAATGAAGAAAAAGGGAGAGGAAAAGACACTCTACTCTTGATTTGCCCTTCTTTTATTATAATTTAGTTTTGATTACACTGTTTCTCTGTACTAACTTTTTTTCTTTCATTTGCGCACTTAGCATTTCTTGAGAATAAAAATAGAAGAGTTAGAGAACTTCATCTCTTCTCAGGAAGAGAACAACTGAGTGTTGCAGATGGAGAAATAAAAAAATGAGGAAGAAGGCTAGAAAAATCAGAACTTTCAATGATGTCACCTCTCCAGGGAATTGTTATCCTGAATTAAGAAAGTTCAGACAAGAGGAAGGGTATTAAATTTATTTACATATAATTAAAGATGTTATTCTTAAATCAGAAAGAACATAATGATAATATCATCGCTCTAATTCGATTAAATATTTTGAGAAACTTAACTAAGTAGCATAGAATTAAACACTGAATATGTGTTTGCAGCAGAATGATAACGAAAAATGGTTACCGTAATTAAAGTATCATCTATGGGGTTCAAACTTCTTTCTGCCTTGCTGATATGGCCTCAATGATGTGATTAAACAGTAGTTTGATATACACGAGAAGTATAGAACATCATTATGTGAAGAAAGTTTGATATACAGGCTAACTACTTACTACTGGGGGATTACAAGGAACAGGAAAACAAAACTTTCATGTGTTGTGCTTTTGTGATTTAACTTCAACAAAATTATATATATAGTGGAAAAGATCCCAGTCCTCAACAGAAATAATTTATCGTTGATTTACTATCTCCATTGAA